CCTGATTTCACTTTTGAGCACTAACACTTGATCTGATCTGTTGTGATTTGTTATCACCATTGAAATAGGTTTATGCACAATCAATTGCTGCTGCTTGTGAGCTTGACTGGCCGAGGAATCGGATTTTGATTCAAGTTCTTGATGATTCAGACGATGGAAATCTTCAGCGTTTGATCAAAGAAGAAGTTCTGTCATGGAATGAAAAGGGTGTTAATATTGTTTATAGACATAGATTGATCCGAACTGGGTATAAAGCTGGGAATCTCAAGTCCGCCATGGCTTGTGATTATGTTAAAGATTATGAGTTTGTAGCTATTTTGGATGCTGATTTCCAGCCCAACCCTGATTTCCTTAAACTCACTGTCCCCCATTTCAAGGTACTTATATGAACTTTTCTTAATCAATGGAACCTTTTGTGGAAGCTTGCTTACATGTTTTGAACATGTCAACAGGGAAATCCTCAGCTCGGTCTCGTCCAAGCTCGGTGGGCGTTCGTTAACCGGGACGAAAACTTACTTACACGACTCCAAAACATCAACTTGTGCTTCCATTTTGAAGTGGAGCAGCAAGTTAATGGGGCATTCCTGAACTTCTTTGGATTCAATGGAACGGCGGGCGTTTGGAGAACGGAAGCGCTTGAGGAATCTGGTGGCTGGCTCGAGAGGACGACGGTGGAAGATATGGATATTGCAGTTCGAGCTCACTTGAAGGGATGGAAATTCATCTTCCTCAATGATGTCAAGGTGCTGTGTGAGTTGCCTGAATCATATGAAGCTTACAAGAAGCAGCAACACCGTTGGCATTCTGGTCCAATGCAGCTCTTCAGATTATGCCTTCCTTCCATCATTACTTCAAAGGTAAACTCTCAAACACATTCCTATGTCGTATGATCGACTCGTTGAGCTTAAACCGATCGGTTGGATTTGTGCAGATATCAATATGGAAGAAGACGAACTTGATATTCCTGTTCTTTCTCCTGAGAAAGCTCATACTTCCCTTTTACTCATTCACTTTGTTTTGTGTCATACTTCCATTGACAATGTTCATTCCAGAAGCAGAATTGCCTCTCTGGGTAATCTGCTACATCCCAGTCTTCATGTCATTGCTAAACATTCTTCCATCCCCTAAATCCTTCCCTTTCTTGATCCCATACCTCTTGTTTGAGAACACCATGTCTGTCACAAAGTTCAACGCCATGGTTTCGGGGCTATTCCAGCTTGGAAGTTCATACGAATGGATTGTGACTAAAAAGACAGGACGATCATCCGAATCCGACTTCCTGGCATTTGCCGAGCGCGAGTCTAAAACTACAAACGAGGAGAAGATTCTGAGGAGACATTCGGAGTCAGGGCTCCAGTTGTTGAGTAAATTGAACCAACAAGAGAAGCAAATGGGTTCAAAGAAAAAGAGAAACAAGGTGTATAGAAAAGAACTGGCTCTTGCTTTTCTGCTGCTAACTGCATCAGCTAGAAGCTTGTTGTCAGCACATGGAGTTCACTTCTATTTCTTGCTATTCCAAGGTTTGTCATTCCTGGTGGTGGGTTTTGACTTGATTGGTGAGCAAATGAACTGAAAAAGTACGATTTGGAGTGAATTTGATGAAGTTTCTTTTGGTGTTTTAGGCCCTTATAAAAAAAAACTGGGCAGAAATGAACTAAAAATGACAGATTTTCAAAAGGGTATTTGGTGTTTGAAAATTGGTAGATAAAGATTTTGGAGGTTTTTTGTTCAGTAAATTTGTACAATATAATGATACGATATAGTATTGTTAGTATATGGGTTTCAAACACAAAATAATGGGAATTCTGAGTCTAAGAGACAAGTTATTTTGATGTTGTTCTTGTTTCTTCTTTTTATTTAGAAAAACAGAATATACATTATAATATATACTATAAAACTCCCCCTAATCTCGAACAAATTTGTCAGCCAGCTGTTCTCGAGTCTTCTTATATCCTATGGACACAAAATCCGTGTTGTATTTTCTGAAGAATGAAATGACAATTCGCTCATGAAACACGGAAAATGTTGATCTTGTATGTTCCTTAGATCTTGCCCAAACTACGGTTAAAAAACATTCGAACTTTCATCTGACCATGAACTTTATACAAGATTTCATGTCCAAGGGCTGCCTGCTTGGTTCTTGCCATGTCTACAGAAGCAGAAGCTCAGAGCTATGACTATGGCTCCAAGAGTTAGGCCATTGATGTGGCGTTGGCTTGCTAAAGCCAATACGACACTCTAAAAATTGATAGCATTTCAATATGGTTAGAGAGCTTACTTGCACGTCTTCTCCTTGGCCTTTATATAGACATGAAGCTCAAAAAACTCATCCTTACGAGCAATCTGAGTGGTCCATTAGGTGTGAAGCTTATCTTCACTAAATTGAAAGAAAAACATGAATATGAACAATTCAATAAACATTATAATCATATAATAAGTACAAAAGGGAAAAAAAGAATGCTTTTATATCACTTTCAACATCATCATTATCATCACTTATAGTATGAACTTATTCCTTGAGCCCCTGATATCACTTTTGTTGCTATCTCATGAGGCATAGAGACTTGAAAGCCTCCATGTTTTCTATGGGTAAGTCTCTTGTGATCTAAGGCGCATCGAGGTGTATCGAGTAAGCGACTGATGAACTCATACAGAATAAACAACTAACCAGAGAATGTTTATAGATAATTCAGGAAACAGATGAATCAGATCAACCCACGACGACCTCAACGACAGACTGAACGAGGGTAGCTAAAGCATATGCTTCTACGAGAAAGAAACACGAGTACCGACATGAATACAGTGGAGACGAACATCAACTAATAACAGAGAAACTCAAAAAGGTTAGGCCATGGAGATATGGTTTGAATCAAAGATTCATTAACAAACATATGAGATTGAAATCTACCAAGCATTGTTTAATTCAAATACCTCTTTGAGTTAGATCTAGAGCAGAAAGTTTTAATAAGACTTTGGTGTTCATGATGCATTGCATACTGCAACTTGCAAGTACAAGCGTTTATCCAAGAGAAATTATATGTGAAAGGTGTAAACCTTTAACATTCATTTCATGTTTCAACAGAATCCAATGTGTTTATTAAATGAACTAGCAAGTAAGATTCAACTTGAATATAAAAGAGATCAAATTCATAACATGAAATACAAAATGCATCCTTATTTGTAATGCTCTAGCGCCTAAACAGGACCTCTAAAACAGCTACAATAAATTTAAGGTTGTACAAGTTCATAAGGAAGAGGTATCAGATTCAAGCTTCGAGAGTGTTGCCAAGAACAAAAGAGAAGAGCTCTCGAACAGGGGAAAATTCGACCAACCCAATATCAATTGCATACCCGGATACTGGTAGCTTCAAATCCCTTAGAACACAAAATGCCTCAGCCATTCGAGCCTTGGGCACCTCCTGAGCAACAGCGCAATGGGGAATCCAGGAGCCAAGGCGATATTCCTCTCCAGTTTCAATTCCTTCTTTCCTCATTGCTTCGCACAATTGAGACTGGAATTGGAGGAGTGAAATCGAAGGCGCTGGACCGAGAAAGAGAATGTTGTTGTCATTGGGAAGGCTGCCAATTGACGCTAAGGACAAAGGCAGAGGTTCCTGTTTCGAAGCGAAATTCTTAACGATGGATTCAACTTTTGTGGGTTCGAGGAAAGGGCTGGAAAATAGGGTAATGTGAGGGCGCGATTCAATTTCGATGAGTTGGGTACTGATTTGACGGCGAGCTAGTACATTCCAAGCCTTGAGAACCTGATTTTCAAGTGCCGGATCGAAATAGAGCTCGATCGCAAAACCTTGTGACATCGCCTTAGAACACAAACTCCTCAAACTAAATTAGTGAACAACGGGGAGAAATAAACGAAACCCAGAAACAAGGAAATTCGAAACCCTAGAGATACAACACAAAAACGGAAGAAAACACGAAGACCCAGAAGAAATCGATGAACCCAGATGCCCAAAAACCTAAATTTACGAGAAAAGGGTAAAAGAGAAATGGAAAATACAAATTTGAAGACGAGAGTTTCAGAAGGTTAGCGCGAAAAGGGGATTAAGAAGTGGAAGAACAAAGGCAGGTAAAGCGTTGAAGTGAAGCTAAGAGTGGAAAATGGATGGGAAATTGAGAGAGGGATCAAGGGAAAGGCTCTGCAAGAGACTGTGGGAGTTGGAAAGCCACTTGCTAAGAGCCGAACCAGATTAGATGTCCGCCGAGTGGATCGAAACGAGGAAGACACAGGGTGAGAGGGAGGAAAGAGGGAGGGAAAGTGGGCATCGGTCGGCCCGCTTAAACCTCCGAGCCAACCAGCGTTGAACTTGAACCCGTTTGGTAGACCCAATTGTTCTTCAACACTTCTAAAGTTGAGTATGAATTTGAATTATGTTTCAATTTGATTCTCCTTATCTCCAACCGGGAGCCACTGGCATGGTCTATTTTGACCCGTTATTGTTAGGAATCACGACTCTCCACAATGTATGATATTCTCCACTTTAACTTCTCAAAAGGCCTCGTACCAATGGAGACGGTATTCCTCACTTGTAAACCCACGATCTTCCACTGAATTAACCTATGTGTGGCTCACTCCCAATAATCCTCAAAAGTTATGTATTACCAGTTTCCAAGTCTTTATAAAAAATGTTTCATTTTCCTCTCTAACCGATGTGATATCTCACAATCCATCCCTTTTGGGAGCCAAAACCCTTATCGGCACTCGTTCCTATCTCTATTCGATGTGGGATCTCACAATCCACCTCTTTCGTAGCCCAGTGTCCTTGCTAGCATTCATTCTTCTCTCAAATCGATGCGGAATCTCACAATCCACTTCCTTTTTAGCCTAATGTTCTCGCTGGCACTCATTCCTCTCTTTAATCGATGTGGGATCTCACATCAATCTTCTATATCAAATTCATTAAGCTAATCTTCCGTTAACCAGTATAGTAACAAATCAAGTTATAGTGCGTTTATAGTATTTTATGAGACAATAGCGCTAATGATTTAAAATTACCTTGATTATCACATTTGATTTTACATGGTCGATGTTAAAGATATTTACAACCCTATGACATGCTTTGACCACTAACAAATTTTACATTTTTCCTTCCATGTTCGGCCATAGCCAACGCTTGAAGGTAAATAAAAGCTGTACCAGTCATTTTCATGGCCTTTTCATACATGATCTGAACTGTATCTCTGTGAGTTGTAGTTTCCAAGAAGAGGTACTTTCTGATCTTCATGTGGTTCCTTGTCATCACTAACATTATGGCTATGCCTTTCTTTTTCTTCTTCATCGCCCACTTCTTCTCTTGTTTTTCCCCACATTACAGTATAAAACCCTATGGAAATTATGGATGCTCCAATAAGACTGCAACACAACCAAAGTTTAACCTTCTTCAAGTTAGTTTAAGTGGTAGAAGAATTCATGTAAGAAACTTGAGGTTTTAGAGTTACAAAAGGGAAAGCTAATTCCAGAATTCTCCCTCTGTTTGTTGTCATACCTTCCAAGATATAGAGAATCACCAAGAAACAGAACACCCATTACAATGGCAACGACAATCGACAGTGGCTTAAACATCGCTACAAACACTGGCCCTTTCAACCGGAGTGCCCATGTATGAACTGTATTATTCAAGCATGATCCAAAAAGTCCCTGAAAGTATAGAAAAGAAAAAAAGAACAAAGTTTTGTTAGATATCATTGTGAAATGAATTGTATTGAGTGGCTTTTCTTGGTTCTTACGGAGCATAAAACAGAGGCCAACGCTGTATTTTGCCTCAAAATCCAAGCACTTGGATCTGTCTCTAAGATCACACCTACAACTGCAGCTATGAAGGCCACAGTTATGTTGTAGAAGAAGATCACTGTTGCCTCTTCTGGGTATTCCTTCATTATTTTTGTCTGAAAAAATGTTCAACAGTTTCAAGGTTGGTTATATTCATATTGAAATTTCTTCACAAAAAATAGACATAGAACACGTTTTGAGGCATCGATTAAAGCTCTAATAGTACCGCTTTTAAAGTTAGGAGACATCCAATTAAAGTTAGGGAGAGATTTCTACCCCTTCTAAACAATGTTTCGTTTCCCTTTCTAACCGACGTGGGATCTCACGGATTGTGAAATCCTACATCGACTAGAGAGGAGAATGGGTGCCAACGAGGACACTGGCCTCAAAAGGGGTGGATTGTGAGATCACACATGGGTTGGAGAGAGGAACGAAACACTCTTTACAAGGGTGTGGAAACCTCTCCCTAAGATACGCGTTTTAAAAACCTTGAGGGAAAACAAAAGCCCAAAGATTACAATATATGATAGCAATGGGCTCGAGCTCTTACAAATAATATGATGATGAAATTTACCTGAACAATGTACCAAAGTGGAACCAAGATATATTCAGCAGTCAAGAGAAGGCTGCCAATGACCCAATTAGAATCTGAAGAGGTAAGTGGATGATGGAGGGAAAGAGATGTGGGTGGTGAAGAGAATATGACCCTTGGACCCTTGTAAAGAGTAACTACAAATGCACCTGATATGGATATTATGGTGCCCATTACTTTTGCTTGACTGCTACTGCTCTTCATCACCACTTTCTCCATCCTTTCATCATACACGCATAATCAAATTATTGAATCAAAAGGATAACAAACCAACCTATCTTATTTTTAATGGACAAAACCACTTCACATGCATTATCAGATTCTTTTTCTTGAATTATTCAGATGAAGAAGCCATAAGAACTCCACGACTTCATCCAAGTTAACTTCATCAAATTTACCAATAATTTGCATAAAAAGGAACAAAAGTGTCTTATCAAACAAATTTCAATTCATCTTTAAATTTTCTAATTGGTCAAGGAGAGATAGCCTCTCTGTATCTTTCTCCAATTTGGCAAGTGACCACTTTTTTTGTGGCTTAAAGGCTCAGGATTTTACACAGACGTGTGTTATACATGCTCCTCATACTCTACAAGCAAAACAAAAACGACAAAAATAAAATGGATATTTTAATGATTGATTTTGATGTTTTTTTGAAAAGAAAAAAAAACATTAAATTTGATAATAAAGTAAGTAAGTTTGCGACCATCTCCTAATAATTTTAATCACACAACTTTCATTATTAGATATAAGATTAATTCGTAACAAGTTTAAATAAAAGCATGGATTAAAAATTTTAATTAGATAAACTTTTGTGATGAATCATGACTTCTAAATTAATAAAAGAAGTGGATCGATTTAAATTTAAATATAGTTTAATATAGAGATTTTATTAATATTTTCATCACATTTCAAGGAAAGCCTGACCTTGGGAAGAAAAAACAAAAAATATTAGATGGCCCCACTTGTTGAAAAAATTGTGGTGTGGGCACTTTAATAATAAGACATAATAGAATAGACTTTTTTATAATAGAAAAGAAATAATGAATTTGAGTGTAAAAGATGGAAATGGAAATCAGTATTATTTGAGGTAATCTTATGATCCACACAATTCATTGTAATACTATCATATAAATTAATATATTTTTAAATAAGTTTTGGTTTCAATTATTGTATTAAAAGAGAAAGAGAAGTGGGGGAAGAGGAACCTGAAAATGATGGCGAGAATGAAAGTGAAAGCAGGAACAAGGTTGCTGATGGCGGAAGCAAGAGTCGGAGAACTGTAATTGATTCCCGTGTATCCCATTATCTGCGAACAAGAACTGCAAACAAACTTCCGATTCAATTCAATTTTTCGAACAAAAGCAAAATCAATTAAATTCCATATGAATTAGGTCACAGAGATGGAGCACCCGATGAGTCCGAGAAGAGCGATCTTGGAGAGTATAGAGAAATTGAGCGGTGGAAGCCGCGTGGATCTACAAAATCAAAATCTAAAAATTACTTGATCGAAAGAGAGAAAGAAAGAAAGAATTAATCGAGAAAGAGAGAGAAGAAGACCTGCGAGAGATGAAGGGAGAAGGGAGGAGGAAGAAGGCTGCGAGGGAGTAAGAATAAACGATGAAGACGTGGTGGCTCATGCCGGAGGCGGTGGCGGCTTTGAAAAGAGTGTTGAGACCGACGTTGATGCACTCCATGGTTACCATCGCCGGAAATGGCAGAACGCCTTCCATAAAGTAACTTCCCGCCATGGCGACTTTATTACAGAGTAGAAAGTTTAGTGGGGAAATGCTCTGTTATTGAAGACAACTGGACAGAGTCCGGAGCTGAGGGTTTATATATAAATCAACTCTCAAAAATATATATTTTTTTTAAAAAAAAAACAAACAAAAATTGTTGGAAATGATGTAATAAAGAGACCATCTGTGGACGGTTTGTTGCATGCATATTAGGACACCACACTCTCCCCTTTTTTTACTTTTTAATATTTTTGCTCCAAATGGAAATAATACTCGGACACGGTGTCAGTTTTACAATTTTAAAACCTATTTGTTAGAGAGAGTTTTCTATATTTCTATAAAAAATAATTTATTTTACTCTCGACGTGAAATCTTACGACAATCAATATTATTATTTAAAATTTTTATTAGGTTATCGAGAAGAAAATTGTATTAATAAGAGGTTGAAAAATGAAAGTAGCAACCTAATAATAGTTTACTAATAAGCTCAAAGTTAACTGGTGAGACGGCATTAGGTCATAACCATGAATAAATAATTATAATAATAATATGAAGGTATTGGCTTCCTAGTATAGTCCAATGCATATAATATATAGTTACCTCAAATAATATAATATAAGGAAGGCGTAGATGGTGTGACATATTAGTAGCAGGTGGATCCAGGCCCAAGCCCAGGCCCAAGTCCAAGCTAGTTTGTTTGAAACAGGTTCATGGGAAACCCTCTGGTCTGTGGAGATGAATTGCCCACAAGGCCCTACAACAATATGAAATCCCTCATCGGAACTTTGAAACTTTCATACCTACTTTTTAAGTGAATATGGGCTGATGGAGTTCCATAGCCATAGCCATGGCAGCACCTCCTTCGAATAAGAACTTTATATGGTTGTGTTTGATATTGGACTCATTGCTTGAGAGGTTCAACTTTTCGCTTGAGATGTTCAACTTTTCCTTGATAAGGAGAGTTTTTACACGTTGTATAAGAATGCTTCATTCTCCGCTCAATATCATGTTAGCTCATTTTTTAAGGAAAAAGGGTCAAACTTTTTATTAAAGAGGATGGAAAAGAGAAGTTTTAGCTTTTTAATTACTTTTGTTGACATTTTTGAAGCCTTCCACTTGCAAAACTCCATTCAAAGCGAGCAAAGAAATGAATCAAAGTGGTAATGAAATTGGTATTCATTTGCTTTCCCTCCCACTTAGTTTCAAAAGGAAAACCATTATGCTTTCCTTAAAACTCCCTAATTTCCAACACAAACAAATCAATACATTTATATTATCCCAATTATATTTTTAAAAAAGAACATTCACATGTTACATCCCCAAACTCCAAGTAATGTCTTGAAACAAAGCATGAATTTGGGTGTGAATTTTGTTCTTATTTCCATTATTATTATATCATGTTTTGTCTCAAATCCAGCCATTACCATTAACAATGGACGCGATGGTTGAGCTGCAATCTACTCCACCCCTTCTCTCCAACCCCAACTCTTTCACACTTCCCTTTGTCTCCCATGGTTGACCAATCCCTCTCCCACGCTCTCTCCCTGCGCGTATCTCCCAACCCACCGCCTCTTTTCCTTCTCCTCTCCTTTACTCTTCTGGGTATCTCCCATTCTTCCCAAAACACACGGAGAACCGAAAACCCTCCGTCCCCTTCAAAACCCATCTTCTCTTTTCGCCTCTGGTTTAGGGTTTTTGCTTGTTTTTGCATTGTTGTAGTTCACTGATTTTGGGGCTTCGGGCTTGGTTCGATCTCTGAGAAGCGGAGGGTGTATGGTTTTAATTTCAGTATTTTGATCTCTGGAATGTCAAAATTGGTTTCTGGAGCAACCCCATTTGAAAATGACTCGGATTCGGCATCAAATCTTTCAGAAAGATGGATTTCTGAGCTACCCTCCTCCTATGCCGCCTTCTTCTTCTTCCCCTTTTGATGTAATTTACAATAAGGAACCTACCCCACCAGCACCGCCATCTGCAACCTCGTCCGGTACGAGGATAAGTCCAGCAGTTCTTTTTATCATAGTGATTTTGGCTGTTCTGTTCTTCATTTCTGGTCTGCTCCATCTTCTTGTTAGATTCCTTATAAAGCACCCATCTTCCTCAGCCTCCTCTCAATCCAACAGAAACCCAGAACTTTCTCCTTCTGATGCACTTCAAAGACAGCTTCAGCAGCTCTTCCATCTCCATGATTCTGGTTTAGATCAAGCTTTTATAGACGCACTTCCTGTTTTTAAGTATAAGGAGATAGTGGGGCTTAAGGAGCCATTTGATTGTGCTGTTTGCTTGTGTGAGTATTCTGAAAAGGACCAACTCAGATTACTTCCTATGTGCAGCCATGCCTTCCATGTCAATTGTATAGACACTTGGCTCTTATCAAATTCGACATGCCCTCTTTGTCGAGGAACGCTATTCAACCCCGGTTTTTCAATCGAAAATCCAATGTTCGATTTCAATGAACTGGGAGAAGAAGCTGAATGTGTTGGTAATGCAGATCATAGGTTGCCTAATTGTCAAAAAAGAATGGAGATTCAAGAGGTAGTGAATGAAAAAGGAGGTTTCCCAGTGAAGCTTGGAAAATTCAGAAGAATGAACATAGCTGAGGCTGTAGAGACCGAAGTTGGAGAGACCAGTAGTAGCAACTTGGATGCTAGGAGATGTTACTCAATGGGATCATATCAATACGTTGTTATAGACGCTGAGCTCAGAGTTCCCTTGTCTAGAGCTCAACAAGAGGGTGACCATAAACAGCCCTTCAAAGGGACAGAACCAAAGGGCATTGCAGATTTGGATGGGAAGAAGCTGAATAGTGTAGCTAAAGGAGAGAGTTACTCTGTTTCGAAGATCTGGCTTTGGTCTAAAAAGGGGAAGCATTTGAGTTCTACTGAGCCGCAGATAGGTATGGATTCTTCTCTTAATACAGACTTGCCATGGTTGAGGCAAACACAAGGGCCATCATAAAAATGGCCTAAAAAACTCTGTTTTTTTTCTGAATGTTTGTTGTATCTATTTACATTTTTGTGTTTGAGATTTGGTTGGTGCTAACTTGTGAGGTATTGATTACAACAAAAGTGTTGGTATCCATCCATATGTCTTCCTACCACTGAAACCATAAATCATATCCTTTTTGAGTTTCAAATGATGTCAATATAGAAGGTGTAGAATAGGAAGAGTAGTGATGTCTTGAACACTAATGCAATCAACATGATTAATCGAATGAACTCGGCTCGTGTAGTAGATCTTACTTAAATCATTGTTTCTATTGCCATTAGCCTTGCGATTTTAAAACACGTATGCTAAGGAGAGGTTTCCACACCTTTATAAGGGATGTTTTGTTTCCCTCTCGAGTCGATGTGGATCTCACAATCCACCATCATTGGGAGCCAATTTTCTCGTGCCTCTAATACCATTTGTAATTACCTAAGCCTACAACTAGTAGATATTGTCTGCTTTGGCCCGTTGAGTATTTTTATCAGTCTCGCAATTTTAAAACGTTAAAAAGAGGTTTTCAAACTCTTGTAAAGAATGTTTCGTTCTTCTACCCAAACGTGTGATCTCACAATTACTGTAGGTCTCGAGTTGCAGATTTATAGGTTAGTTAAAATCTTCGAAAGCAGAGAAGAAGGCTTCAAAAGCACTGTCTCTCACTGCGCTGCCATTGCATGATCATCTGTCTAAGATGTGTGAATGAGTGGCCCATGCGCTCTTACTTTTGTCATACCTTTTAAGGCACTTGCCCTCATAGAAGAAGCTTTTCTTTTATGAGGCCCCTCTTGCTTTGAAGGGGAAAGCGAGAGAGAGTGGTGGTGGGATCCATCAAAGGTTTGAAGTTTGATAGAATGAATAGGCATCTATCTTAGTGAATGAATGAAAGAGTCTTTTGGGTATCCATTAGTCTTCCCCCATGTGAACATCTTTCATCTAACTAAATGCTTGTCATATAATCAATTCAACTGCCAACTCTCTCGTTAATCGATGCCAAATCTCACATTTGTTATCTTAAATGCGATTAGTTGAGCGCTATTCCTTGAAATCGCTTTGTCCTTTTTCTCCTTGATAATTGATTTAAGGGTATCTAAGAAAGCATCTTTGAGGTGGGATTGATTTAAGGGTATCTAAGAAAGCATCTTTGAGGTGGGATTAAAGGGTATTGGATAAATTTCATAGCTATTTTTGTGGCTTCTAAAGTTTCGATATGAGCATGCATAGGTTGTTCAACTCCATCCTTGTAGCGATTAAAATTTTAGTTCATCCCATAAGAGTCTCTTTTAAGTTCATACGACGAAACAAATAATTAATTAATGTTATGCTACATTATTAAAATTAAAATGTATGGTTTAAATTTATAATTTAAAATATAAAAATCACTATTTAATTGTAAATTTTTTTTTAAAAAAAATCATTATAATTTTGGTTTCAAATAAATAATTATAATAAAATAATAATAATTAAGAAAAAGTAATCTTATAAAAACGGAAGAACCAAACAAAAAAATAAATAAATAAATCATCGAGTTTTTAGATTGTAACGCTGGCCACAAATTAACCCCCACTGTTAACAATCCCCGCTTCCCCGAAAAGCAAATACCCCCTCCGCTCCTCCTCCTCCTCCGACCACCGCGCACGGCGGTTGCGGCGAGAAGCAATCGAACACACGGAGGTTCCAGAGCCACATGATTATATCCATCCAGAATCAAATGAAGGACGGTCCATCCTTGCCGAGGTCCATGGACGACTTGGCGGAGGCCGGAATGGAGGCGAATCGCATGGAGAAGTCGCGGCGCATGAAGTCCTCACTGAAAGGATCGTCGAGAGCTGGACCTTCGTCGAAGTTGAGAGCGTAACTGAGCGGATCGTAACGGTAAGTAGATTGGCGATGGCGATTCTTGTGAAATTGACGAATGAACGTCTTCCATTTAGGGCCGGCAACGATTTCGGACCAATCGCGGAACCTCTTCCAGCCTCGAAGCCACCACTCGTCGTCATTATCGGCAGCCCTAATCCTCTCCCACCAGGACTTCGATGGATTAGACCTCAGGCAAGGAAGCCAGAAGCAGCAGCCACGGCTGGCGAAGGCAGCCTCATGAAGAAGGTCATCGGTGTGGAAGCCATTAACGTCGGAAGAAAGGTCAGGAGATTGAGGAACAGACATTAAAAGAGGGAGAGAGATCTGATGGAATTGATTTGCAGAAAAGTTTTCTGCAAATCAATCTTCTCAGAGAGAATCTCTCTTCCCTGAGTTTGAAATCGAATGGCTCAGTTTTTATTGAGTTAATTATCAATATATGAGAGCAGAATTAGGGTAAAGCCAGAAACGGAAAACACGCTGGAAAATTAGTCCTTATTTACGCTAAATGCCTTAAATAGTTTTTTATTTTTCCTTAATTTTTTTATTTCCTTAAAATTAATCAGACATAAATCTAAAACTCTTATTAGTTGTTTTTAAGGTGGCAACAGATGGAATAAGTTGAGTCATATTTTCCAGCTGTGTGGCCTGCACCATACCATAACATCCCCACCACTTCAGCTTATATCTAAAACATGTCGATCCAACGTTAATCCTCAAATCGAACTAAACCTCTAAGAGCCGAGATCTCCCAAACTCCAATTCAAGGATATGAATCGAATCTACAACTTTAAAGACTATGTGACGTATATTATCTATTTGTAATAGTCCAAACCCACCGATAACATATATTGTCCTCCTCGGACTTTTCCACAAAATTTTAAAACACGTCTGCGGAGAAGAGGTTTCACTCTCCAATCAATCGTGATTGTAGGTAGGAAGGCAATTTAGTCATCCAGCTGACATGATGATGAGTAATTGATGATTGTCAGATTTAGATCTTGGGTAGTGGTGGGTCGTAATATAGATATATATAGATATATATATATATATTATAATAATGAAATAATTAGGAAGAAACATGATGCACAAGTATAGTTTTTATATTTTTGGCATTTTCATTATTCCAAAGTTGTGAAGCATAAGAATAATGAATGAAAAAGAGAATAAATGTAACCCTGATAAAAATGGAAGCCTAAGAAGGCCATTATTACCTCGAGTCTTGTAAACAACAAATAATGAGACCATGAATGTTCAAAGAATTCTAGCACCGAGTTCTTGCTGATGTCGTTGTTCGAGTAAAAGCGTAGTCCCATCGCCATGGACGCTAAACACGTCCCGTCCTTCACTTGATTAATTTCAACACATCTCCCACAAGATGTAAAGAACCAGTCACAAGGACCTGAATAATAGAAAGCTCATAAATTTCTTCGTTCCAAATGTGCCCATGTCTAGATACTCGAAAATATTCGCACCTGAAGTCGAATGGACCTGTTCTGCTGCAGAACACTATCTCGGAGCCATTTAATGGCCATTGGGAGAGAAGAAAACACTGCGCTGTTCTCGCAGCTCTTACCACTCACTTCTGGTTTTTCACTTTCTTCTTCAACCATGGCACCAATGCCTTGAGAATCGCCTCCTAATATGTCGAAGGATAAAGAATGGCTCCAAAGACTTAGAAAAAGATCACTAGCATAAACAGATAATACCTTTCTCAGATTGGATGATGTTTTCCCACACCCTTCGAACATGGAACTGCCAAGAAAGGTCTACTTCACCATTTGCTTCTGCTAAACCATGGGTTCCAACCTTGTTGAACAATGATGTATTTGGAACAAAGACTGCCTTCTTGAAGTGGACCCCTGAGTTCATATAACCAAACTCTTATGGAATTTCATTGATTTGTGGCATATTTTATTTTGACATATGTAACCGCCCAAGCTCATAGATATTATCCGCTTTCACCCGTTACGTAAAGCCGTCGGCTTCATGGTTTTAAAACATGCCTGTTACGAAGAGATTTCCACACCCTTATAAGGAATGTTTCGTTTCCCCCTCCAACCGATGTGGGATCTCACAATCCACCCCCTTTGGAAGCCAAGCGTCCTTATGGCACACCGCCCGGTGTCTGGCTCTGATACCATTTGTAACAACCCAAGCCCACCGCTAATAGGGATTGTCCACTTTGACTCATTACGTATTGCTGTCAGCCTCACGGTTTTCAAACATGTTTACTAGGGAGAAGTTTCCACATCCTTATAAGGGATGTTTCGTTCCCCTCTCCAACTGATGTAGGATCTCATAACGTAAATCGTTAATCCATCAGCTAAAAACTTATTCTGTAACTTCCATTTTCTTTGTCTCCTAGTAATGTTATATTTTAGTACCTAAATTATAGATCATTCTTTTAAATCCTAAAAAAATACTGTGTATTAACCAGATGATATTTTTTCAGTTCGAAGAGTTCGACAAATACATACCATTATTTGTGCACGTTTTGATCAGAGGTTGAAGAAGCAATTGTGGATCTCGTACCGACATACAATTGAACAATAGCACCTACAATGTCCAACACTACTAGATTAAACAACATCTAAAGAAGTTGAAGCACAGATAAATGAATAGGTATTCAAACTGAAACTAGCTTTCTTATTTATGATCCCTTTTTCTTGACAAACAATAAAACGAGCTTGGAGAAGTCGAGCTAAAGTCGAAATCTACCTGCACAGATTTCTTCCTTGCCTCATCATTATCATATCCTTGAAGAAGTTTATTTGAAGATGTACCAGTATCATCCAACTGATGATCTAAGATCCCTTCCTGGTTATGTTTTATTGCAGCACAAAACCAGCTACTGCAAACCACCATGCTCTCAGGACTATGGGCACCATCCAAATAAAAGACAAGATCTTCCGGGGATTCAATATCATTATATCTATCAGGAACAATCTGAGCTCGCCCTTCAAAGCTGGCAGTGGTAAGCCCTTCTATGAACTGCTCAGGCAAAGACCCCTGGTAACATATTGTTAAGAAGAAAAAGAATCAGAAAACACGAGATAGGTTTACGGAAGACCGAGGACCAAAGACAAATCCCATATGTAGAACTTACACTCTGTTCCTTGTACGACAGATTGGAATGGCCGGTCCTGTGAAGCCAAGTGGAGGATAGCGCAATAGCAAGACGAGCATTTAGATACTGGTGCTCGCCTTCAAGCCCGAGTTTATGACCTTGTAGAAGCTCCGGATCCAACGATGGCACTACTGTAAGTTGTACCTGGGACGTGCAAATATAAGGCAGTGTGAACAACACATAGTCATGAAGTAGCTAACGGAAGAGCTTTGCACATACATCCAACTGGGAAGCTTTATCTCTAAGCACATGCATGGCTTCATCAGGTTGACATACAGTAAAAGCTGGAGCCCCACGCTGCACCAAAGTGAAGGGATGGAAACAAAATGATTATTCCTAGACGTTCATGCTTTAAGGAAAGTTTCTTGAAGCAAACCTTGAAGATACCAGCTTTCTCCGACGCTATGGCACCAAGAGTATTTCCTAATTAGACAAATTCAAAACAGAAAGAAAGCAACAATGTAAGAAAACCTTGACATTATCAAACTTATCAAACAGGATAGAAAACATCTATGCTCGTGCTTAAGCCATAAACGCAAACAGTTGTCGAACATTTATTTTCCAGGAAAACTATTGTCAAGGTCGAGAGAAGGCTAACCAAGAAGTTCCGTGTGGTCGTAACCCAGAGAAGCTATACCACACACAATGGGTGCCTGGACCTGAAACATTAGAATCTATGATATGGCTATACCTTGATGAAGGTTTCTACTTTCTAATCAAGAACAAATTATATCTGTAACAGCTCAAGCCCACCGCTAACAAATATTGTCCACTTTGGGCCGTTACATATCGCTATCAGTCTCGCAGTTTTAAAAAACGTCTACTAGGGAAAGGTTTCCACACCCTTATAAGGAATGTTTCGTTTCCCTCTCGAACCGAAGTGAGATCTAACAATATCTAAAATGCCATGAAATACTTTACCAAAAGAGAATGAGCATACCACATTGGTAGCATCAAAAGTTCCACCTAAACCAACCTCCAAGATAGCTACATCCACCTTCATTGATGACAATAAAAACATCATCATTATAATCCCAGTAATAAATTGACCAAAGAAAGCGTATCCAGAAAAAGATTAAAATAAAAAGAACACATCAAACCTGCTCATCTGCAAAAATTTTGAACGCAAGTAACGCTAGGAAGCGAAACAAGTGAGGCATCGGTACATCCTCACTAGTTTTTTCCTGAAGAAAATAAATTGTTCTAGAAAACTTTCAAAATATCAATGAAATTCTTTATTTACAGTTAAAAGATAATAATGAATCCCATAGTTTAGTTTTGTAGAGTTCAAACGTCTCTTTACTACAAGAATAAGCAACTCAGAATCTAAATATAATGTTTACATATACAATTAGATTCAAAGACACCATATATTTTATCCATTAGATGAACTTATGTATTAAAAGTAATAATAACACATCAAATTGTACCTTTAGCCTATTATAACACCACCAGAAATAGGCTAAAAACTTCTCTTCACTGATGTCGATGCTGCAACAACCAATTAGAAGGTATTCAAGAGTTTGCAACTTCAAAGTGGGAAGAGAAAAAATAGTCCCAGAAATAAAGTTAGATAATACGAAGCAAGTCGTTGATACAACGAAAAATCAATGGATTTACTGTAAGGACAACCATCTGCATCATCTCAATAAACAAAGTAGCGGTCGACCAACTTTACCACGTAAAAGAACAACAAAACTACGTAGTATGCACAATAGTTACCCATCCAAGCGAAATCTTTCTCGGACATCAATAAGGTGAGGAGAAGTGAAAAGGCCAGTGTGGAAGCCACATTTACGCAATATGGATTCGGTAAAGGTGCACGTGGATCCCTATGTAAGTCCCGAAAAAAGAAAAAAGTTTAGTTAACACAGCATCATTTTCAAGCTAACTCAATGATGTTTTCTAAGCAAAGTTTGAAAATTCTAAGTTGACAATGTTAAAGTGAATGGGACAAAAGTAGAAGTATCCAAATGAAAGAGCATGAACTGATGAAGATGGTACCTTGCCTTTGGTGCCAGCTACATGGATGACCTTCATTTTCGACATGGACTCCTCTAAATCAAGCATCTATTATATTGCGTCAACTCAATGATCATCAGCTCAAGTATACTATAGCAATAACAAAGTGTTAAGTTTCAGTAATACCTTTACATACTCAAACAGCAACTCAAACCGATCTCCAGATTTATCGCAGCGTCTACGGCTGACAATCAACGAGGACAGTACATCCAATGCCTCTTCATAGGCTGTCCGCGAGTATTTCAATGCTCCCATACCTTCAAAAGCACCCATCACAACCCCAAAACGTTTTTTGGTTTTACATGATAGAATAGCTTAACACATCAAAAGTGGTTTAAAATGTGTCCATACCTTCCTCCATGGTTACTAGATGACCCCCTGCTTCTCCAATATCCTGAGGATTCAGCCTAGTCTAAAAGATTCAAAGGCCCCCAACGTTTGCTACTCTCCAAAGCTGCAAAACAGCTAATGTCTTTTAGATGCAGGGAAAAGCATAGAATACATCAAACAATCAGGAAGTTCCAACATATAGCTCACGGAACAAACCCCCTCTAAAAAAAAGCTACCTAATCGCTTAAGATGAGGTAGAATTTCTTTACACATATTACATTCATAGTCTAGCTTATTCCCTGCTTATTCCCTGCTCTAATTAAGAATATATTCGATTGGGTATCTAATTTCCCCGTT